TGAACAAATTAGGTAGTGTCTAGATTCTCGAGAACATGTTCAGTGCCCCCAAACCTACAAGCCCAAAACACATCACTTGCACAATTCCCCAGTCATTCTTGTCCAGCATTGATACTGTCAACTGGGTTTTTTTGCTACCATGAGCCAAATTTGGGATGTGGAGAAAGAAGGAACATAACAACAGTAGCCTAGAGTGGTACAGAGGAGGACATTAATGACCAACCATTCACTGTCAAAGCAGGAAAAAAAGATGTCAATTAGAACTTCCAGGAGGCAAGTTCAAATGAAGAACACTATGAGGTTCTTCCTTTGAAGCTGAATTTCAGGGATCTGTGTTCTATGATATTACAGATTCTAATAGACTATAGAAGCTTACAGAAAACTGGAGATGTTCAGAGATGTCAGGTTTTGCTTGTTTTAAATCAAACTGAAGCCACATCTGAATTTCCTGAAGTATAAACCCCATGAGGAAGAACCACACAACTTCATATTCTCTCTCCCCTCGACATCCACTTTGGCTATTCTTACACGCATGATACCACTTTTTCCTGCACTTTCTATGCAACCTAAGTTAAAATACACCTATTTGTAAGCATATTCTTAAACTGCTTCATCTGCAAGGAAATCTTACCATCTCAAGGTTTAAGATTTTCATAACCACAAATGGCACTGCTACTAAGCAGTAGTGTGCTAAAAAATATTACAGAATCTCTCTCTCAAAGTCAAAACTCACCAATTAACCTTCTACGATGAAGTTCTCACAATAAAAAACTGATATCACCACTGTAATAGTTTGGAATCTGTCATTCAAAATTCTGAATATCTAACTCTAGCCTGTATGTCAGGTCTTGTAAGAAGAGTGTAAGATTTCTCTTCTACACTGTTCTTGACAACTCTTCTTTTAAAGACATGTACCCCTTTCTAAGCAAGAAGCTGTGTCACTTCATCAAGAAATGAAAACCTCAGTTCAATCTGTTCTGACTTTCCCCTACTGTTCACTTAAGCAGAAAAGCAAAAACATCATCAAGCAAAAGAACTCACGACACTTGGGCGCAGGTGAGAATGATACTGCAGCCAAAGGGTAAAAGTCTCAAATTTAAGCTTCCAGCATTTTCCAGTATGCATTTAAAAACCCCAAACAACTGAACTTGTTTCAAAGTCAGTTTTGTTACCACTCAGTGAGAGGGCAGAAGTGACATTCAGTTTGACTACTCTATTAATACTAAGCATGAAATGCTCACAAGTCAAAATTAGCAAAAACTACTATTGCAGTCATTTTAAGCAATTCAGAGTAATAAATAAAGTTTGACAGTACTCAGCACGGAAATGGCAGGAAGTTCCTGAGTGCCAGATACTCTTCTCCAGTCGTAAGACAAAAGTGGGGATCCTTCTTGTGATGCACATTTCAAGGTAACATCTTTTCCAATCTCCTGTGATCCTTCAATGGAACATTTAGTTCTTGCTGGCCTTACTAATAAACAAAATATCACCGAATTAGTAACAGTCACAATCAAAATACTTACTAGTTTTCTTCTAGTAGAGGCCAGTCCATTTTCCTAAAATAAAGCTTGTGCAACAAACCATTTCCATGCATGGAAAAGTTTTCTATGAAATTCAAGCCAGACACAGAATTTTTAAAAGTGCTCATAATTCTGAATTTTATTCTCTTCACCTCCCAGAACAGAATTATGTCCTTGATAATAAGTCTACCATCATAGATTCAGTATGACTTTGCCCAAAAGAAGTTTTCATTTTAGACATCAAAGACAGGATAGAATAAGCACATTAAAAATGTCATTGAAAGTTCAAGAAAAGCATTATCTTACCAAGTACAGTCAACTGCATTTTTTTGCTTTGAACTCCAGGAGCCTTCTTCACTTTGCACTGGTATGTGCCAGTGTCTGCTGCCTTTAAATTCAGGATATCCAATGAACCATCACCAGATTTGGGATCAGGATGAGCAAACTGCATCCGCCCAGTCTTAGCAGCATAATAATTATTGTAAGTCCTGTCTACAGAGTACATAATTATCTATAAAAAAAAGAAAGATGATTCAGAAATCCACTTAGTGTGCAAACATTTAAAATCTTCAGATTTCTGACAATTTTTTCTATAGCTTTAATCCAAGAAGACAGCCAAATATCTCCATCTTCAAAACAGCACCATACAGTACTAATTACTACTCCAACCAAACACCTGCCCGAGTACCAATGTCAGCATTGACTTCTAACTGAAAGAGAAATGTTTAGAATTGCTCCAATTTCATTCTGTAAAACCTGCCTATGTAAAAACTGTAATGAATCATCTTATTGATAAGGCTTCCAAAGAAAGGAAAGCATTAATAACTAAAATAGTTAATATATTTTAAATTAAATCCTCGTAAATCCATTTTCAGCCAGGAAGATAATGCAGATACAAAAGCAAAATTTGCTTTCCAGAACTGACATGTGTTTAATTTCAAAGTTCCTCGTTAGAAGGCAAGTTTATAGTCTCGACATTTCATACTTAATCTGATATTCAAAAATTTCCACTGGTGTTTCAAAGCAATTTAAGATCACAAGCATCCCAACCTGAAAATGTAAAAGTTTTTAAAGCCAGTAACAAAACTCATACACTGACCTAACTCAAACAACCGAATTACCACTGTCCAAGAAAGTTTCTACTTACTATTTTTTCCTCCATTTGACTATCTGCTGGTATCAATCCCCACTCAATATCTAGTGGGCCTCGATCTTCTTCTGAGAGTTCAAACGTACATGGCAATGTAACTTTCTCTCCTTGTGCTTTTTCAAACATAGATGGGTCAACTGAAGTTATAGTTAGGCTTCTTGTTAGACCTATAAAAATATATTTTTATGTTTTAAAAACAAGGCACATACAGTTTTCACTGTGTTTTATTCTATATGCGTATATATATTCAAATCCATCATATACTTTTCCTGTATAGAAATCATGCCATTAGTCAGACTTGTCACAGCTGAAGAGATCCTGTGCAGTTCCTGTTATCAAACACAGTGCAAAGTCATGCACTGTTCATTTGGAATCACATCCAACAGGCAGCTATATCTTTCAAACCATACTTTTTCTTTCTCGCACAAATCAAGTCCCATACGAAGCTAAATGAAACATTTTCAGCAGCAGGTTTTCAAGTTATTAGATAATTCCCTTATCACCACCCCCTCACACTAAAATTAAGAGTATGGAACAGTGATAAAGCCTACAGAATGGACAGAATTGTTGCGAAGACCTAGGTTAGATCAAGCTAAGTTACTCTGCCTTGAGGTATAAGGGCTCCTCTATCTATAGCGAATGGATAAATGAATCCTTTCCAAAAATCTCAATGAGTTCTTTACATTTGTTTGCCCTTGCTGCTTGTCTTACTCCTCTGTAAAGACTGTGCAATCCTTATCTGCATGCCTCTAGGCAAAACATGTTTCCAAACAACAAATTTTCCAGAATTCAGCCCTGAAAAAGAATCCATGCAGTGACACAGAGTTACTCAAAAGGCCTGAAGCAAGATTCCCTGTGTTTCGCTCCAGAGAATTCCCTTATGAAGTGCACGGTCTTGCACACTGCGGTCAGGAAGCTGAAAGTGTGCCTTTTTCTCATTATGGAAACAGGTTTGGCATTGGTACATCCACATGTCCCACCTGGCTGGGAACCAAGCTCAGGTTTTCAGATGTGTGCTGGTAGTCACAGATGTGACCACAGCCTCAAGAGGTGCAATGCCATAAGCGTGGCCAGTAATCTACACATGCACCAAAACAATCTAGCGCCTCAGATGAAATAAAGCTTAAAATCATTATAAACAGCACGTTATGCTTTAACTTCCACTTCCATGCTAGTTCAAATCTAACTTGCACTTCTCCGTATAGTAGAGAAGCTGTAGTACATTTCTGCAGCAGATGAGACTGCAACAGCAATCCTTCTACCTTACTAAAATTTTGTTCTCAAGTCTTTGGAGTCTCTTCTTGATGTCAAAATAATGGGATCTTTAACTGCTATTTAAAAATAAAATCCTTCAGAAAGAGAAATCACCTGACAGACTAAACCACCTACAGACAGCAGCCTGCAAGCAAAGACCTTTGCAACTGTTAACCACAAGCATACAGTTACAAATTTGGTAGGATTATTTTATTTCCTACCATTCATGGTACTGCTTTGCATGACATTACCTTCAGAAAGGCAAGGGATATCAACTTGAGGTAGGAAAGAGATTTAGGTGTAATGTCTCTTACCAACCAGTGTACACATTTTCAAAAATAATTCTAATAGGTGTGTACCACCCCTTTTTTGACCACAGCAAACAGCTCTGAGCAATTAATTCTCTGCTACTAGACTGAATTAATACTGTTTTCAAATGATACTGACCTCTGTGAATACCAGTTGACTTGTCACAAATGCCATCCCCCTTCTAAAGGATCTTTTTAGATTTCCAAGGGTAAAAGTAGCCATTCTAAATGTGAATACATGACAATGTAATCCTTAAATTCAGTCAGCTTAGTATAGACAAAGGCAACACTACTACTAGCCATCATGTCTATAAATTAGTAGATTCATGTTTCCATAAAGCACAGCAGCAGATAATTCAAATTCCTAATCTATTTTTCAGTTACTTCCACTCTTCTGTTCCCCTTTCATCCACTGACTCATTACAGAACTGTAATACATTATTTTCAAGTTCATCTCCAAATTGCATCTGTGCATTTTCTAAATTACTTTATTAAAGAAAGTAGATGAGATGTCAAGTACAGTTTAGTGACTGATGATGAAATACATTATGATGTAACTTCCTTAAAAGCCTCAAATAACTCAGGAAATTAAAAGCTTTCATTCTGAAGCAAATCACTGAAGCAGTGCTTCTGCTCTCTAAGAACATGTCCAGTAGCAATAGCTTTGTCATCTGAAGTTCCACAACAGAAGACCACAGCACATACATTTGTTTCCCCCTCCCCACCAGAGGAATTCAGGTAAGAGCAACACAATGAATGACATCTGCCTCTTCACAGCAGCTAGTGGGTAACTCTGAAGATGCTATGACACATCTGTTCTACCAAGAAGTACAAAACCTGAGTTTTACTTGATACCTGCTGAAACACAGCATGGCCAAAACAAACTGGACAGACAAGTATTCATATGTTGGGGTTTTTTTACTACCTTTTTAAAGAAATGGGACTTGTACAATCAATGTTTATTTATCTCCCTCTTCTGCCATTATTTGTTCATCTCTTTGACAACTTCAAACAAACACAAAAGCAGAAATAACAGTCCAGTTACACCAGAAGTCCCTAAAGTTATTCATTTGCCCTGACATAGCTAAGAAGCATTGGATTCTTCAATTATCTCTTGCCCCTTCATTGCCAGACATCTCCATGCCAGTATATTTCAAAGCAGATATTTCACGAACTTTCTCATTCAGATGGCAGAACACTGAGAAAGGGACACCGGGAATGCGGAAGAAAAATGATGCTAAAAGCTGGAAATACTACATTTCAGAGACATACTACTAGGAAACAAGGCTCCAGTAGTCCTGCCTATCACTTGGCAGCTTGTTAAAGTGCTTTAAAAGCCAGAAATATCAAACATTTCAGTCTCAGTTTCTACTACAGCACTCATTTCTCAGATCCAAAACATATGAATCAACATAGTAACCATGTGCTAAACAAAAGCAGAACCCAACTGCCTGAAATTGCCCCAAACCCATCCACATAACAAGATTATTATTTACAAACCCATCCACATAACAAGATTATTAGAAAAGCTTTCAAAACATTTTAATTTTTGAAACTTTTGAAGTAGGAGCAGTATGTTCATGCACATTGACTGCATGTAAACATATCAATGAAAGCTAAAGCACAGGGCCCTCAGGATAGTGCTCAACAATCACTCCTGCACATGAAGCTCACAGCACACATTAGCTGGTAAGAGAACACTAAAACATTAGTCTGAGCCTTCCAAATCTCAAAGATTTTTTGTAACTCTCAATTCTTTTCTTACTGCATGTCTCTGAACACTTCATTTTTATTACACTAGTGTGCCACAGCCTCTTTCTTATGCTAAGGACACAAACACAAAAAGGTTTTTTTTCCTTTTCTCTTTTTTTTCTTGGCCAACATTACCATGCAGAAGCACCAAGTACCTCAACTAAGGTACATGTCAGAGCTAGCTGAGTTTGAACTGAGCATTAGCAACACAAGGGAGTGGCAGGTAATACTACTTGGAGATTCCCTTCTGCAGAGAAGACACCCACATCTGCTGCCAGACATGCTGGTGAAGGAGATTTGGCTGGACTCAACATGCTATGAATTATCAATAGTCCTCCACCCCTTATTATCACCACCACTACTGCTTTTTTTCCCCTTCTCCCCTTTTTCCATTTTTGCTCTTTTCTCCCCTTTTTACTTTCTTACTCTTTTCTCAACTATTACCTGCTCATAGAGGCACCCACTATGCTATCAACAAAGGAGACTTAAAGGAAATCAAAAGTGACTAGAAAACTACAGAGGCAAAGAAGGACATGGGAGCCCAGGTGACATTAGCTCTCCTTGCTCTTTCATGTGAAGGGGGAAAAGGCTTGTAGGGACACATCCTTCAAGTTAAGAACTCACTGTAGGACTGGCACTGCAAACAGTGGTTTAATTTTTAAGGCCACAGTGCACCTCAGAAATGCGGACTGCCAAGTTAGAGATGGGATCTACTTGATGAAGTGGGTTATGAACAACCTCATGAAATCTAGTCACTGTAAATTCTTGTAAAGCACTGTAAATGAGAGACCAGGGAATGGAAATACAAGTTTGCAGTTAAGGGAGGGAACAGAGAATCAGACAAATGTAAGTACATGGTTGGTCAGGTTGGTGGGAAAAAGAAAGACCTTGGTGAGGATAAAGAGTTGAAAGGGGAACTACGTCAAGTTCCTGTACACAAAACTATGACACCAGAGTAATTAAGACATGTTGGATGGCTTGCATGACTGGAGCTTTGTCATGGATCCATACAAGCTTTTTAAGGAAGAAAAGAACAGCAGGTGAACTGCCCTCTACCTGAAGGAGCAGCTGGAATACAAAAAAAACTGTTCTATAGGACAGACAACAGACTGGTTAAGAACTTATAGGTCAGGATTAAAGGAGAGGACCGTGCGGGCAACATCACAGTCGAAGTTTGTCACACATCAATTGACTGGGATAAGAAAGTTGATGAAGCATATTTCAGCAATTTCAGAAAATCTCTAAAAATCACAGACTGGTTATTGTCTAACCTCCGTCACTGGAAGGGCAACACAGCAGGGCACAAAATCTAGGAGGCTTTTGGAAGATTTCAGGGAAAAATAGTGCTAAATGGGTCAATCCCCATTTGATACATTCTTGAAATTGCTTTCAAAGAAAAAAGGGAAGAACTTGCCAGGGATGGGATCAATAGCAGGCTTGACTGCAGTCACCATGAAATAATGAAGTTTACAATCCTGAGAGGAGTGAGGAAGTACTTCAGAAGGGCAGGTTGACATATTCAGTAGCTGAAATTCTGTGGAATCCAGTTCTGAAAAGCAAAGAGCTCAAGAAAGCTGGCAGGTATTTCAGGACAACTGCTTCTAACCACCCGAGAGGTACATCCCAACACTAAGGAAAATAAACAGATTAATCATCAGCTTGGCCTAAGAAGGAAGAAGCAAAAACAGGCTACCAAGGGAAGAATACACAAATACTGCCCAGGCATGCAGCACTCCTGCTAGGGAAGTTAAAACACAACCAAAGCTGAAAGCAGCGTGGGACTTCAGTGCCACATGAAAACCTTCTACTATTACATGAGCAGTAAAGAACCAAAAAGAAAAATAGGATAGGTG